CTATGATCATATGGATATGATTCTTCAAACCCTGGAGTATGTTATACAGTAATTTCAGTTTCATTCGTCAATATTGGACTATTTCTGGGTGTTGTTTTCTGAGTCAGGTGCTAAAACATTATACTTTACAAAATCCACATACAAACACAACTCTCTTACTACTGATTTCAGATTGGCTCCTACTTTGGCAGTGTGGTGTGTTCAGTGGATGTTAACAGGGATTCTGTGACAGATGTGCTGCTTGTGGGTGCACCGATGTTTATGAATGACCTGAAGAAAGAGGAAGGGAGAGTATACATGTTTTCCATCACAAAGGTAAGAATGGCACTGTAGCAAAGCTGGAATCAGCGTCCTGCCTCTCCATCTGTAAGTGCTGATATTTTCATCTGCAGCTGGAGGGATTACTCTTGTTCCCTGGACTACAGTTTTACCAAGGAAAAAGCAGTCCAAACTGCAATAGTACTTAACAGCAATGTCTATTCTGCTAAATCAGAGAGGGATCAAAAGAGCCATCCCTGGCCCTACAGCCAGCTGGTGCAGCAGACTCGCTCAAGCGAGCATTGCTTAGGGCTAATTTCTTTCAAAGCAAACTGGCCACATGCATGCTAAAAAGCCTTTGGCCCTGGTCTTTTCAGGGCCTCTAAGTCACTATTTAGTTTATTTATTCAATGTGTTAGAAATATTGTGAGTAGTGTTTCTGTAACAAAAAACAGAGCATGTGCTTTTCCTGGGGTGTGGGATAAGGGCAGAGGTGAATGGTGCCAAGCCTGCCTGGTGCACTGTCCCTCATTCCACTTTTCAGGAGCAACTGCAAACTTTCCCCAGAACTGCTTGTGCATGTAATCTGGGAATAAGCCATCTGGAACAGACCAAAGTGGAGTCACTAAGCAAGTTAGTACCTAAGCACTATTGCTGACCAGGGGCCTGCTGCTCTAGTTGGCTCCCTGGTCCTGATTTTAGGCACTGTGCAAGGCAATGAATACAAATATAACACAAAGGTGACCATTTCTCTGGAAAACTTAGCTCGAGGCTTTTGCTAATTAATTGTTTGCCATTTGATTTTGGCAAATCTGTTCAGCACCTGACAGTATTCCTAAGAGAGTTCTAAAGAATGCTCTTGAGACAGTTTGCTGCATTGTTTCATAGACTTCCACACTGGATGGTTATTCCTCATGTTGTCTCTTTTGTTCAGTGAAGCTATGTTATTTGTCTGATGGTTGACTGACTATGTTTTTATTCAGACCTGTAGTAGGTGTTTCCAAAATATTTGTATTAACACTTCCGAAGCCTCTAGCACATTTGAATAGTCTCTCAGTCAATGACTGGATGTCTGGATATGCAAAGGAAATTTAATACCTGCCATCCATCAGAGAAAACAGAATATGACCTTTTTACTAGGTAAATTGCCATCAAATAAATGGAGGGGAAGGACCATCCTTTTCAGTGGCTGCTTACAGTCAGATCATTCTGCAGCAACAGGAAACTGTACACTATGGCAATTTCAAGGTAGATGGAAGTGCTGGAAGTGGTACTGCTGGCAGCTGACATTGGTCTTTGTGACTGTGGAATTAGACACAAAATACTGAAGAAAAGAAAAATAAAGAATTTTTTTTCATGTTTTGAAAACTGAATAAATTGGAAGACTACCCTTACAACATTTAGTCTTTGTCAAATGTTACATTAAAAATTATTTAAAAATTTAGAATAATTAAAGAATTTTTTTTTAAAAAAACAAACCTTGTTTTGTACAACTTATCCATGTTGCGCAAATAATACTTTTCTAGTCATTTTTAATAAATAACTTGGCTGGTATTTCTAAAATTTTAAGCACAGCATGATAACTGAGGTTGAAGTTGCCAGAGAGTTGAACTGAAGTTAGTGTAAATGTGATTATTTAACTATAAAGATTTCTAATCTTTCTTTCTTCACTGGCACTGGAGAGGTCAGGAGTTTAGCATTTGGACACATGTTTTTTACATTAGTTTAGTTAGGAAATTCCATTTCTGTTTCAAAGAATTATGTCCAGTTACATAATTTCCATTCCCTCTGCATAAAAACTGGTAATCCAAAACTGGAAACTGTATTTTTCAATGTATTGTGAAACTTTCAGAACAGTCAGATGAGGACAGTGAGAGCATTTAAGCTTCATACATATGGTTATATTTGCTGTTAGAGCTTTGCATAGCATACTTTAATTTTGCTATGTAATGCTTGCCAAGACTCTGAGACATAATGCAAACTGAATGGGCAATACAATGGGGAAGGAATTCAGGGTTGAGCAGTCCAAGGGGAATGTACTGGCAAACAAAACCAAAAAACAATGCACATAAATACTGCTTCTGTGTCTAATCTGGTGCAACGATAGCTGTGTTTTTGCTTTTTCTTCTTTTTCCTTTTTTAAAGGGAATTTTAGATCAACAAGAACTCTTGGAAGGTCCACAGGGGTCAGAAAATGCTCGCTTTGGAGCAGCAATTGCAGCGCTTGCAGACATTGATTTGGATGGCTTTAATGATGTTGTAATAGGTGCACCACTAGAAAACCAAAACTCTGGAGCAATTTACATTTACAATGGATTTCAAAAGACTATACGTACCAAATATTCTCAGGTAAATAGTTACATAAAACAGTTGCATGCTGTACTCAGTGCCTTTAGATCTGACAGGAAAACAGAAGGATTTTCTGTCTTTTAACTGACTGCTGCTTCAACCTCTTAAAGGAGTACTGTTCTCATGACTATTTCAAGCTTTGTGCCTCTCCTTACTTGAGCTGTCAATATGTCCTGGTTGGTGTTGTGGTGCTTATAACTGAAGCATATAGAGTAAAAGGACTTGCAAGATGCTCCGCCTGAGCCTTTTAAAATTTTCGTGCCTGTATATGAACCCAGCTAATTTCCTATACATTTTTAGATATCCATTATTCAGGTTTTAGAGTTGATGTACAGCAATGAAGATTAGATCAATCCCAGCTCTGTAATTATAAATATGTAGTATTCAAGGAAAAGATTTTCAAGGGTCTTTGCATATCCTATATGCTAATATAATAGTAATTTTAATGTCACTTTCCATGCAGAATTTCTGGTTGCATAAAGTATTTGTTAGAAGTCCTGTTAAGCTTCCTGTTCTTTTGAGTTGCTCAATACGAGATGGAAAAAGTTTCCAGTAAGTACTAGCTGGAATACAGCAGCCAGTTAGTTGAGCTACTCCCAAGACAGAAAAATCTAGTCCATTGTCTGCTCCAAGAGGGGAGGAAAAAGTGCTTAAAAGCATCTGAGTAAACATCCACAAAAGCATTTTGTTTAAACAATACATTGCATATACAGGGAATATCAGTGCAAATCCATCGCTTAGGCTGTTATCTACAGACTTAAGTATGCTTGTGGCAAACTGAGTAACCAAACTCTCTTTCCCAGAAAATTTTAGGATCAGATTCTGCTTTTGGACAACGGCTCCAGTTCTTTGGAAGATCAGTAGATGGCCATAGAGACTTAGATGACGATGACATTGCTGACGTATCAGTTGGTGCTGATGGAAATGTAGTTCTGCTATGGTTGGTAAATGCTTTTAGAAAGGAAGCACTTAATGATTCAGATGCAAGTTGAGCATTTAGTTAATTAAAAGGCAAAACAAACAAATCAAAAAGCTGTCATTCCATGTGTTCAGAGCTAACACACTGCCTCATTGCTGTTATCGTAGCTATCTGAAAAACAGCATTAGACTAAACCTCTTTTAAGCATGTATCATCAAACCATCAAAAGCCAAGGGGACAGAGCCAGGGCACACAGGGGAAAGCTGGGTGGCAGGGGCTGTCAGGAGAGACCTGGGCAGGGATGAGGAAGACCAGGAGACACCCCTGCCTGCTGCGACTGTGCAGGTACGTGGTTCAGAGAGAAAGGGCAGCAGCAGGGAATGGGGCTTGCTTGAGAGTATTTTTTAACAGCAGGTTGTACTTTAGTAGTCGCAGTAAAATTTTGATAGCTGAGCCCGAGACAGATGAAACTGCTATCCACACAATCTGCATGACCCTGACTGGCTGGTGGGACGAACTTGGGAAGAGAGTTGTCTTGCAGGGTAAGGACAGAGAGCAGTAAAAGAGAGTTGGCACCTATTTCTGGTAAGAAATGCGTCTTTTCTGGCATGTGGTCTTTGCCAGAGCAATCTGAATACTTTCACAAAATAAAGATGATAGGCTTCACAGAACCCAAATCTTCTGCCTCCCTACGTACTGTGTGTTTTCCACTACTTCCTTGAGGAGCTAAATTAAAATGCAGCTTGCTGTCCTATCTGTTGCCTTCATTTTTGCCCGAGGTTCCCCATTGTAAGAAGAAAAATATCACTGAATTGCTACTTATTTCATAATGAAACAACATTATTAAAAATGAATGGTCAGTTTAGACTTGTGATTCACAATAGAACTGGTGCTAGTGGGAATTGCATTAAAGAAAGTTATGCTTCTTGGAGTACCAGCATTTATTTAGATTTTATTAATGAAGATGCTCATTTTTCTTTCACTCTGGCATTTGGTCTGATTAATGAGTTTCACTTTTTACTCAAGTGTTTGTTTTTACGTGCAAGGTTCCTTTGAAACTGTGCTTTAAAATCTTGATTAATTACATAAAAGTTGTTTTTATGAAAAATAAGAGTATTAATTAAAATGAAGAATTACCGTTCTTCAGCTTCCCACAGTTGCTCAGTAACTTCCCTAAAAGAGCAGAAGAAGGTTACTTATTGGGAAAACAGGACAATAGCTTTGTTCTTTGTTATCTTAAAGGGAGGATTAGAGCATTAGGATGAAGACATTGATTATCCATTAATTTGACAGGATAAATTATTTATTGCCATTGAAAGCTACTGTATCAAAAAATTCACTTATATGCAAAGAAAAATAATTTTACTAGTGCCATTAAAAAATGTTTACATTGGGAAACAAAAAAATCAATGTTACATTTACAGATAGTAAACAGACAACAGCTTCTACACTACCACAGTGCTCTTGAAAATCACACATAACCTTTTAAAATTATTTTTCAGGTCACGAAGCATTGCAAATGTGTCCATAATTGCCTCATTTAAACCTGAGAAAATAAGTCTGCTGAACAAGAACACAGAAATAACTGTCAAAATATGTTTTCAGGCTACATTTAGACCTGCTAAGAGAAATAGTCAAGTGGGTAAGAGTATTTCAATCACTTGTCTTATATTTATTTCTTCAAAAGTCCATTATTCAAATAAGAAGTGGAAATTCTAAAGATATAATAGATTGAATGTCAAGAAGGGCAAAATCAGTATAAAACTTAAGTAACCGAGAAAGTGTTTTTATCATCACTGGCTCCATAATCTTTGAAAAGTTAGGAATTAACAGTATAAAGGACAGCTGTATCCTTGCTGTTCAACAAACCCCAGAAAATGTACTTAGTGACAAGCTGATTTTTTTCAACCTGCTGGTTTCAACAGCAGATTGCAGACATTTTTGCTCTCTTTAGGAAAAAAAAAAATTCCACAGGCTCAGTGCAGATGTCAGTGGAGAGAATCTCCTCTTTTCAGAGAACAGGAGAGCATGAAGTATTTCTGAGACCAGCACTGGCCTCTCATGGAGCTATTTAGTTAACCATCATGGATACATCAGCTGGACTGCTTCATTCCTATGTATAGTACCTTTAGGACCTCGTGATTGTGAGCTATAAAATAACAGTGAACTTCCACAGCGTCTTAGTCATAATATGAAGAGAAGAAGACAGAAATTGTTAAGTGATAGAGAGAAGATGCAGATTCTTTATAGTCTCCTCAGAGTTCAGGGATATTGTTGCAAGGCCCCTCTCTCTAGCATAATCCTGGCCCTGCTGACTGGCTTCTTGCCTGAGCTGCAGGCTCAGACACCTGCAGTGGAGACTGGATTGATTGTCATTTAATGTGCTCTCTGTGGATGAGAACTTACGTCAGGATTTAAACCTGTTTGACTGCTTTGGAACACACAAGAGAAATTTTTTTCATTTTGAGACTGTTCTGTGTTTAGCAAGCTACAAAAAAAGTAAAATATTTAGTGTGGTTTCAAAAGCCTGGTCAACTCTGTAATGTTGAGCATAGTGATGAGATCATGGGCAGTCATACTCAGCAAAAAATATATTGTTATTCTTCTTGTAGCTATAAAGTACAATGCAACATTGGATGCAGATCTCCAGTCCTCTAGAGTGACTTCTAGAGGATTGTTCAAAGAAAACAATGAAAGGTACATGCAGAGGGATCTTGTGGTACATCATGAGGAGAATTGTGTTCATGATGTCTTCAGTGTACTGGTAAGTGCAATCGCAAGCACTTTATGTGACAAAAATGAGCAAAGAAAGATGTTGATGATTTTTATGTCTATAAGATTAATTAAATTGCATGGTGTACTCAGTGATTTATGTTTCTCCATTCCCTCACAAATGAAAAATACTTAGTAAGATTCTGATTTCAAAGAAACTAATAGCTGTCAAATTCAGAACAGCTTTTTAGGATGGAGGAGGCAGTTCTTAGTTATGTAATTCAGCTCTGACATAACACAGAGCCCATAGTCCATGGTTTCAATAGATTTTAATTTCCCTCTGAGTAGATTATTCTTAAGAACTAAGACATATATGCAAATATTTTCTCTTAAATTAACAGCATTTCAGGCAGACTTCTGGTGCATGCTAGACCTAGGTATACACCTAGGGGAAAAAAAAAATAAGCAAGTCTTCAGCTTTCTCTAGAACCAAGGACCAAACACAGCGCTGAGAGTTGCCTTAAACCCCCTGCATGATGCTCGGTCAGGTAGAGGACTTTGATTTCTGCTCTGCTTTGCAATGCAAATATTTTTTACTTGTTGATCACATTCAGTGCCACTGTGGAGCCATGAGCCATAGGGCTAGAAGAGTGTTCATCTAGTACAGAGGACACATGAGTTTTAGTGTCACTCAGGCCTAGCTGCTCTCTGTGATGGTAAGGCAGAGTGGAATAGGAATTTGACTTCTGCAGCCAGGTGAGAATGAAAGTCACCTGGTGGTGGCTTTTGAGGAACGGCTTCTGCAGCTGCAGAAAATCTGTATGTATTCCTTAGCCCTAAAAGTGTGGAAATGGAAATAAAAGCTGTTTAGCAAGAGGAGCCCACACTAGGCAATCTCACAAAATTATTTCAGTCAAGAAATGAAGCTTGTACTATTACTTCTTGTTTACAGCAAGTACGATTTTACTATGCATTCTCAATTTACAATAGAACTACCAATTTTACCCTGTTTGCTGTGCTGACAGCTATCATCTGAACCATATATTTTACAGGAACCTTCTGATGCAGTGAATTCACTTAGTTTGCGCATTGATATTGGCCTTGCAAATCCTGGCTCCAGCCCTGTCCTTGATATATATTCTCCTGCCTCTGTGGCTTATAGTGTAAGTATGGAGACTTACTATCAAAAAATGCATGGCTGTACATGTGTCCATAATGTGTGGCCCCCAGGAACACCAAAGAGGTACATGCGAGTGAAAACTGGTGTTGTAATTAAGTCACTGGGCTGAAAGCAGGCAGCTGGGAGGGGGCAGTGTCCCCTGGTTCATTTCATACCTTTGCCTGTATTGCATGGGCTTGCTCACACATACACACACAGCAACCACCATGGCATAACAAGCATGTTGTTTGAGCCGTGTTGATGTTAACTTCTAGTTGATGGCAAAGATGAATTACTTTAGATTAGCTTATCCTACAGTAAAAGAGTACATAAAAGAGAGATGGAACCCCTTTAATTGTCACATTTGTTGTGGGTTAACAATAACCTGTCTGCACCATTCTTATGGATCAATTGACATGTAGTAATATGTTACTCAATGTTAGCTTGTTCATGTGTCAGAGTTTTTAATGCCCTTCAGGGGGATTTTCTTATCTGCAGACCAAGAATGTGCTTCACCTCAAAGTTGTTTGCACTTTACTGTCAAGATAATTTTGAAGTCGAGCCCTGTCATTCAGGAAATATTGTTTTTCACAGATTCCTTTTATTAAAGACTGTGGTGAAGATGAACTTTGTATCTGTGATCTTGTTCTGAATGTTCAGCAGAAGGCAGATGATGGGTAAGAGCGGAATCAGTGGACTTGTTGGGGCCAGGTGTTAAGTTTTCATCAGTTGGTTTTTCTGTGGGCTTTGGATGAATTTCTAGCTGAGAATGCCTTTCTAGTTCAACATCTAATTAGAAATAGCAGGGATAAAAAAAAACCAAACCAAAACTAAACAGGAGTATTTGTGTCTAAATAACTTACCAAGGAAAAAGAAGTATGTTAGGAACACAGAAAAAGTAGGACTCTTGTCAGCTTAGACAAACCGAAGTTCTGGTAGCTTAGGGATGACGACACAGTGGGCATTCAGAAGAATGGTGTCTGGCTGGCTGCTGTCAGGAAAGGGAGCACACTGGGAAAGCAGCAGCGGCTGCAGCAGTTGTCTTGATCCCTCCCATGGGAAGCGGTGAGGATTCTCCAGCAGGCTGTGCCACTGCGGGACAGACGTCTGCTATTTAGGCAGCACATATTCCAAGTCCATATGCATGGACTATACATGTACAGTACACCTAGATAAGGCTGCCTCTTTCTGGAGCTGCCATCCAGGTTTGCTGACGCTCTGACCACCTTCTCACCAGAGCAGAGCCCTTGCAAATTCAGAAAAGTTATTTTGACTGTACATAGTCAAGGTCCTGCACTTTGAGAAGACACTGATTCCATTTGGTTTTAAGAAATATCATCACAGAGTTTCTTGTGTCAAAAGATTTAGAAAGCAGAGCATTTAAGTGTGTAGAATGTAGGAAATGTCTTGCTGTGCTTGTTATTTGTTGTTGGCTACAGGCAACACTTTTTCATGATCCACAGCTGTTCTAATACCTCTGTTTACAACAATGGACTTCATTTTCCAACAGCAAACAGCAGTTTGTTGTCAGCAGCAAAAACAGAAGACTAACATTCAACATGAAATTGAGAAATAAAAAGGAAAATGCATATAACACCAGAATCCAGGCTACATTTTCAGACAACTTGTTTTTTGCTTCATCATCTTTAACGGTATGTGATACCCAACCCCACTGTTTCTGTTATTGCTGCTGATTTTTTAGGTTCTTGGATAAATTGTTTTGTTTTGTTTTACTTTCTAGTAGTGCCTATCCCAGGAAATAACGTGTGTGCAAAGCTCTCTACCAATTTATTTTTTGTGGATACCAGAATTATTCCCTTCGGCATATCAGTTTATTTAGGTCAAGGAGAGACACTGCCAACTCAGCATAAAAGTTGGCAACCTGTTGAATTTGACCTCACCTTAGTACTTCAGTCATCTTTTCCTCACTTTAGGCCTTGGCACCCACATCTTCTGCTTGATTCCCAACAACACGCCTGAATCCAGTTGCTGTGTCACACGGAATTTGTACGTGATAAACCAGATATGCAGCATTGATGATGCGGCATTAAGCCACAGACTTTGGATCTCGAAATAGTATTACTGTCAAGGCCACATGTTCCAGTTAGACAGTTAATCAAATTGAAGTGATTGCTATACCAGAAGCTCTTACTCTAATGAATTTTGTCTTAGAAAAGGAACAAGAAAAGAATTATACATACTATTCTGTGGAATGCATTAAATCTACAATCTCAACTAGTGCTCCCAAATAATTAATGAATTATGAAATACAGACTTCAGTGTTTGGCTTCTGTGGTCAGGCCACTACTGGAGAGGTGCATGATAATCCTAGGGGTGAAATCCAGAGCAGTCCCTATACTGAAGGGAGAGGAGGGCTAGGAGCATTCATCACTGCCCAAGAGCAGCATTTTCCTGAACAATGAACTGGCAGAAGTACTCCACACAGCACTGAGGGTGCCCCTCTACCTCCCCATCCTGTTGTGCAGCAAAATTGCTCATTCCACTCATGCCAAAAGACCACAGTGGAGCTAGGATTTTCTCTTGCTTTAAGAGCCCATTTGCTTAGAAGTATTTAAGCTTGCAAGTGAAGCTTTCAACCCAAAATGTGCCTGTTTCGAAGCAGGAAGAAAAGCATAAGCTGAGAATGTATGTGTGTTGGTTTTTGGGGATTTTTTGTAGCATAATTCATTAATAGTAAAGGTCTGCTAGGGATGCTTGTAATGAAAGATGGTACATTTTAATGAATTCTTTTCAAAGTGATGATAACTGGCTATGGTCTATGAGTTTCTCTTTGATGTAGAATGATGACATGCTAAATGTTCTGCAAAATAGTAAATAAATTCTTATGTATTGTAGATTTTCCTACAGAAAGTATAAGAGAGAGAGTTCTCCTTTGCACACTAACTCCAGCAGTGAGAGTACTTAACTAGCTCTCAGGTTGTGTAAATATGTTTGCAAAAGTTCTGTAAAAATGCTGTAAAAAAGCACTGTAGGAGTTAATGCTGGATATGACCTGTAATCTCTAGTCTGTATTTGTTCTTCCAAACCTAGCACTAAATTTTAATAAGATCATTACTGCTCACAAGAAATCACATGAGACTAGTCCTGTTCCCACATTTCCCCTGCCTCCTAGCCCTGCCTATGCCCCACCTTTCTGCTGCATCGCTAGGAATTACTGCCAAAACACCTAGTTGTACTACTCCTTAGTGTAATACGTGTCCTGCTGGAGATACAGACTGGAAACTTCCTCTCTGCTTTATCAAAACCTCATATTAAAATAACTTTTCTGTTTGTTTCCTCTGCAGAGTGATGGGACTGAAGTCTCATGTCAGACAGGAACAGCCCAAAGTACAGTAATTTGCCAAATAAGCTATCCTGTTTTCAAAACAGGACAACAGGTACAGCTAACATGTTTAAATAATCTTGAATGATACCCTTAAGCTTTGTTATTGTTGTTGTTGCTTTCCCCTAAATCTGCATTTACTGCTGGTGAGGATTTCTTAGATTTGGCAACAGTTAACTTCCCTTTAGGTTTCAGAGGCATTAAAATAAGCAAAATGAGGGCTAAACTTTTTGTAACTTCTTGTCAGACTAAAGGTAAAAAGGCCCTTGAAGCACCTTTGTCCCTACTCAACAGCTTTCAAATGCTGCTGTAGCTTTGTAACCCTTGGTGGGTGAGGGCTGGGGGCAGAAGCAGAGAGCATTGTGCAGAGCCTCATGGGAACTGAGCATAATTCCTGTCAAACCCCTCCTGCTGCATGAAACTGGGGTATCTCCCTCTTCTGCTCTGTGAATCTCATCTCTCCAAGAAAGTCAGATTGCTTGGAGAGGAGATGGGTGGCCCATACAGCCCTAGGTTAGATCCTATATCCTTTTTCTCAGATATATATCATAAATCTTGGGATTTCCATAGTTTTATGCTCCTCAAGAGCAGAACAGAAATAGGCTTCCAGCCTCTAACATAATCAACTGGTGCAATAAGAAACTTCCTAGAAAGAATAGAAACATGATGTTCTGTGGCAGGGGGAGCGAAATAAAAAAAACCTAATTACATATAAAAAGTTAAGTTTGTTCCGAATTTTTAATAGCATTAGTCAAAGAAAACCTGTTGGAACACTTTTTGTTGCAGCTTGTAGCTAGTTACACACAATTTAAAAATGCAAATAACTCATGTTTGTGTAACGATGCCAATTTGAAGGGGAAAGTGAGAACAAAGCAATTCTAATATGAGAAATTACTGAAATATTACATGGAAATCAGAGAATACTGATAACAGGACAATTCTAGATTGTTACATATATGAAGAATTCAGTTGCCATTGGGAAGTCCTTTGGATGTTGTACTATCAACTCATTTACTGTGTGTTCTTTGTCTCTTCCATAGGTATCCTTTGATATTAGTTTTGATTTTAACCTGAAAAATCTTCAGAGTGTGGCAGTTCTAAGTTTTCATGCATTGAGGTACAGTATGAAATCATACAAAAGCAAGTTAGGTATTAATAACTTATTAACTTATTAATAACTTAATAACTTATTTGTATAAAATAATATTATAACCCCTGACTTAAATGTGTTTTGATGAACAGTGAAAGTAAGGAAGAGCAAGAACTTGACAACGAGGTCAGCTTATCAGTTCCTTTGCGATATGATGCAGAAATTCACTTCACAAGGTATGCTGAATAATGTAAAGACTCTACCATTTTGACAAGGCTTTTGAATATTGTAACAGTTTTGAAAAGCCACTGAAAAGATAGTAAAACTTTGTTTTCATTTTGGAAGTTGTAAGAAATTCCCATTTCATCAACAATAGCAGAATTTCATGTTCTTCCAATAATCTTGCACATAAAAAATTATGGAATGTGTAGTAAGAAATCATAGATCCATGTTTACCACTGCACAGTTGTTACAGGTGCTCAGGCAAATGAAAGTGGTGTAAAAACCAAAGTGCTTGTGGTTTTAGTAATATAATTCATATATACTATAGAAAAAT